GCTGGGGAACGTAATAAATTATAGGGCGTGAAAATATCAGCTTTTGTTGCTTTGTTTCATGCCTCATATTTTGATTATGTGTCAAGAATTGTAGATTTCCATGATATGAATTCTAATTTCCGAATCCAATTACATTCGTTACCATTTCACCCTGTTTATCATGCTTTTTAAGTATTTTATATTTAGAGAGTTTAGGGTAAAGAAAAGATTGTGAATATAAATTTACAGGCAATTCTTTTTTTTTATAAATCTTAACAACTAAAAGTACCAAAAACTTTTTTTGGTACTTTTGGTTGACATTTTTGCAGATTCGGGATTTTTAATTGTTAAGTGAAATCCTAGAAAAGTATGGTTGTTGTTGTTGTTGTTGTTGTTGTTGTTGTTGTTGTTTTTAAGTATATTAAAGGGACTGTAGACGTAATTTCAAGTGACTCTCCACTTATATATAGAGTGGCATAATTTCAAGTAAATCTCCACTTATATATAGAGTGGCATAATTTCAAGTAAATCTCCACTTATATATAGAGTGGCATATAATATTGCTCAAAGAAAAAATTATGTTTAAAGGCTAAAAAAATCTTTTAAAAAATTAATTGTTAAAAACAAACAAAAAATACTTAATGGAGCACACTTGGTTTCTCAAATAAGATGAAAATGTACAGATTACTTAAAAATGTGAAAAGGGGTGTCCTCAGCTCTTGTTTAAGCCTGAAAACCTCCTGGAAATAGATATCACTAATCCAGCTCCACTAGCCCCCCCCCCCTCCGTGGAATGAAGTGTATGATAAATAAAACTGATTTTGAATGAAATGATGTGATGAGCAGGCCTCAACCCCCCTGATTATATTCACAATAGTTCTTGATTTCCTCAATTTAATATATTTTCAAGACATTCTTCATTTTATACACGGTTACCTTCAAAGAATGAGACTGTATGGACGACCTGAAGCAATCTCAGTCTTCAAGTGGCTTCTTAAATGTTTTGGCAAAGTTTCTTATTTGAGGAAACTATGCATATATGGAATCAGACAGTTTAAATTCCGTACAGTCGTCCCTGAAGTCTCATTCATTGATATAGTTGTAATCAAGGTTAGAATATCAACACTGTTCACTTTTTTTTAGATTAAGATTCAGAAGTAGATTGTCATTTAAACCATTCAATTCATAATTCACAATTCACAATTGATTGCGAATTGCAGGTTCACCTTTCGGACTATTCAACCTTAAACAAATCTCGGCCATTTTCTATTCCTTCTCTGCTTAAGAAAATAAAAGGCATGATATCATTAGTTGTAATAACAGATATCCATCCCAGACTAGATCAATAAGATCTGATTTAGGATAAAACATAGATATCCGTCCTGGATTAGGTCAATATGATCAGACTCAAGATAATACATAGATATCCACCCTAGACTAGATCAATAAGATCAGATTCAAGATAAAACATAGATATCCACCCTAGACTAGATCAATATGATCAGACTCAAGATAATACATAGATATCCACCCTAGACTAGATCAATAAGATCAGATTCAAGATAATACATAGATATCCGTCCTAGACTAGATCAATAAGATCAGATTCAAGATAATACATAGATATCCGTCCTAGACTAGATCAATAAGATCAGATTCAAGATAAAACATAGATATCCTTCCTAGACTAGATCAATAAGATCAGATTCAAGATAAAACATAAATATCCTTCCTAGAATAGATCGATAAGATCAGATTCAAGATAATACATAGATATCCGTCCAAGACTAGATCAATAAGATCAGATTCAAGATAAAACATAGATATCCGTCCTAGACTAGATTAATAAGATCAGATTCAAGATAATACATAGATATCCATCCTAGACTAGATCAATAAGATCAGATTCAAGATAATACATAGATATCCGTCCTAGACTAGATCAATAAGATCAGATTTAGGATAAAACATAGATATCTGTCCTAGACTAGATCAATAAGATCAGATTTAGGATAAAACATAGATATCCGTCCTAGACTAGATCAATAAGATCAGATTTAGGATAAAACATAGATATCCGTCCTAAACTAGATCAATAAGATCAGATTTAGGATAAAACATAGATATCCGTCCTAGACTAGATCAATAAGATCAGATTTAGGATAAAACATAGATATCTGTCCTAGACTAGATCAATAAGATCAGATTTAGGATAAAACATAGATATCCGTCCTAAACTAGATCAATAAGATCAGATTTAGGATAAAACATAGATATCCGTCCTAGACTAGATCAATAAGATCAGATTTAGGATAAAACATAGATATCCGTCCTAGACTAGATCAATAAGATCAGATTTAGGATAAAACATAGATATCTGTCCTAGACT